GTCTCTTTATAAATTCAGGTTCTTTAATTTTGTCCTCTGTCGCACGATGATGAGCTTGGTTTGACGATATCTCCGGCAGAGAAATCAACATTGCCGTCAAAAAATTTGATCTTCCAGCAAACTTAGACAGTTCCTAATGGGAATTTTCGGTGGAGTGAAAGGATAGTATAAAGTCCGCCATGTTTCACGTACAGTCTGACGTTTGCTTACGGATTTTCTCATAGGAGTAAAGAGCTACTAGTCTGTATCTGAGGGTACCGTACGGAACTAAAGAGCCTGAATTTATAAAGAGACGACATCTTATCCATTTGACAGGTCTTCTGCTCGATTGGAATGACTTTTCCTATGACTTTGACAGACAATCGATTGTTCCAATTTTGACATGTCGCCTCTTTATAAATTTAGGCTCTTTATACGGAACGTGCATCAGTCTAGTCGATGGCGATCGGATTGGCCTAAGAGAAGAGGAGACAATACGGGGGCGAAAACGAACCACTTTTCTGTCAAACGCGAACCAGCTCGTGATTGGCCGATTTGAAGTGAGTAAGATAGAAATAGAGATTGATATAGATAGAGATAAAAGAGTAAGAAGCCAGTTGTCTCCTCTTCCTCTTAGGTATTGGCCAACAATCAACAGAAGAAGCTTTATCGCTTCCAGAAGATAGTGAGAAACTGCTGGTGGAGTTGGATGGTGATGCTGACGATAAGGATGATGATGGCGATGGTGGCGCTGCTGCTGATGACCGGGTGATGGAACGACCGGAAGGAACACTTCAGCACGATCCGTTCAGTAGCAGCAGTTGCGTTGGTGGCCGAGCAAAACTAACCGTCAGAGGCGACAGCAGCAACAACAGTGACTAAAGTGTGCCAGGGGAACGAACCACCCGATCGTCGTTGCGATGTCGGCATCTTTCGTTGCTCTGGTTGCGGCAGTAATGGTGAGTTGTAGGCTCCGGCGAAATTATCTGGATCCTAAAAATTGTTTGTCTCAAAACTCAAATTTTGACACATCCGCATCTGCGGAGGCGCAGAAATAGTGCAGCGATGCCAGTTACTTTAGAGATCATAAAAATTATGTATCATGGGTGCCAAATAGTGCCAATGAGTATGTCATGGTCTGCCTTACTGTGTTTTTGGCACAGTGTGCTGAGTGACCTATCTCTTGTCTTCGCCTTAACTAGAAACCTTCGTTCTCGACGACGGAGCACTCCAATTCCCAACTGTGCTTCGTAGTTACTTTCTACATTCGGAATCCGCCGAATTTCCACCGCTGAGTTGTTCTTAGTTTTCCTCGTGCCGGTTATCCGCTGTCAGGATTCGATCAAGCCCATTTGACTCCGATGCTGCCTTTAATCCGCCTCCGACGGACCAGTAGTGTCCGAACCAGTGTCTTTGAGAAGATCGTGGCAACAAAGGCCCCCTACGGCACAATAATTACTCTGTTGGTGCTGCGGTTTCAACGCACTTATCGTTTGTTTTTAAAACCTACCTCAGGTTCAGGTTCGCACTGACAAAAAGTTCGGTTTCACATGCCTTTTTAATAGAAACTAAGCGATCGATTCAACCTCTGGTGGTGAACATGAGAACGTCAAAAAGAGTGTTGTGAGCAGAAATTTTCGCTGTTAGACATTGGAAGCGGAACACTTTTTCACTTTTCCTGATAAATTGATTCATCTGAGATGCTCGAAAACTTGATCTATAGTTGAAAAATTTAATTCTGTATCATTTTTGCAAGGATTCTACTGGTGTTCAGGAATATTTTTGTTGAGAAAAATGGATAATTACTGATGGAAATTGGCAATGGAAAATGCTTTAATTGGGTTGGGAAAAATCCATCTTCTGATGTAAACAAACGGTTTGGTTGACGTTTCCTCTCGAACTTGCGTGGTGCCCTCTACGTTGGTGGTACTTTAAAAGAGTAGAACGAAAGTGTGCTGTCATTCTGAATTTCAGTCCTGCATTGGGCGCTCATTCCTTTTTCGACAAATTTCCAAGGGGTGATGCAGGCAGAGTAACAGCTTCACTGTTATTTGCGCTCAGGCGAATTGGGTTGCATTGCGTGTGTTTTATAATAGAAAAAATTTTTTCGTATCCTAAGCTCAAATCCATATACAAAACACATAATTTAGATATCCTAATGCAACAAGTTTTAATAAAAACCGACCGAGTCGCCAGTATTTTTGATATGTTGGCTTTGTTTCAATCAAAATTCAAAACCAAAAGGTCTTAATTATTTAAAATTTCATAGCAGAATCGAAATCTTCATCTCAAATTCTACATTAATATCCAACCGAATTCGGAAGGTTGAAATTCAGATCCACCTTCAAAAGCTTATGTCTAGATAGAGCTGGAATTAGGGTGTAACAGCTTTTGTAAACACTGACTCCTCTTGATGATTTCTCGAAATCCAAGGCTCGCTCACTCAAATCAACGTCCCCATCGGGTAGGAGAAGACTTCTCCTTCCAGTTGGTTATGTTGGATTGAGTGGGCGTGCCTTGAGTTTCGAGAAATCATCGAGAGAAGTCATTGTTTACAAAAGCTGTTACGCCCTAATTTCAGCTCTACCTAGACATAAGCTTTTAAAGGTGGATCTGAATTGTAATCTTCCGAATTCCGTTGGATATTAACGTAGAATTTGAGATGAGGATTTCGATTCTGCTCAGAAATTTTAATTGATTGAGAACTTTTGGCTTTGAATTTAGATTGAGAAACAAAGACAACATATCAAAAATACTGGCAACTCGGTCAGTTTTAATTAAAACTTGTTGCATTGGGATTTTTAAATTATGTGAACTTAGGATACGCAAAAATTACAGCTCTATCAAGATGCATGGCAACTATCAAAGTAAAAATGAAAGTACAAGTTCCTGTGTTCGACAAAAAGGAGCAATTGGGTGGAACCGAAATCCGAAATTTCATCAAAAGGGAAGTTACCCAAAAATGAGTAAACATGCTTTTACTCAAATTTGAGTAAACGTGCTTATGGAGGAAACTAGGTAACGGTTACTCAGATGATGACATTTGTCAATTTCCTTACCCATTTCGAATGAACGAAACGAATGCATGCCCCATTGATGCTTTATATATAAATTATTTCGTCCAGGAACAGTATTAAAAAAAATATGCAAATGATAATTCTGTATTTATTGATACCAACCTATTTGTTAGAGTTGTATTCCTCTTCAACTAGCTGGTGATAGCTTTCGCCATCCAGGCTTTTAAGTAGCTATTCATTTTCACTGCTTCACATCTAAAAACAAGTTTCAGACTGCACAAAAATCGGCTGCTCACAACTTCAAAGTTCGCCATTATTAAATTGATATCAGAACCATTTACCCAGAATGTGGGTAGTTTCCACTCATAGGAGCAAAACCAGTTTACTAATTTTTTGACAACTCCATACAGCATGCAAAAAATCGCCATTGTAAAGAGGAGAACGAAAGTGTCATTCTGAATGTCAGATTCGCTCATTCCGTTTTCGGAAAATTCCCGAGGGGTGATGCACGAATGGCTACACTGTTATTTGCGCTTAAGCTAATTTGGTTTTTTTGTACCCTGAGTACAAATCCAAATGCAAAACATATAATTTAAATATCCTAATGTAACAAGCTTTGATTAAAACTGACCGAGTTGCCAGTATTTTTGATATGTTGTCTTTGTTTGAATCCAAATTTAAAGCCAAAAGATCTCAAAATCAATTAAAATTTCAAAGCAGAATCGAAATGCTTATTCCAGATTCTAGGTTAATATCCATCCGAATACAAGATTAAAATTCAGACTTATTTGTCTCAAAAATCACAATCACAATGAAAGTACGAGTTCGTGTGTTCGACAAAATTGAACAATTTTCCGAAAAATCAGAATTCAAAATTCCCTCACCAGGTGGCTTTAAGATCCGAAAAAAAATCTCTTTTTAGATTGGAAAATCATGCAAGTTGCATAAATCCTCACTCCATGCCGGAGCAGTCCATTTCCGTCACCATCGCCGTCTGTCCAAAGGAATGTTTGTCCCCCCTCCCCTTCCGCCTGTTCTGTCTGAGTGAAGCTGAAGAACTCGCAGTCTTGAAAAAAAAACGGCTTCCATTCAGAACGCATAATTGCCTAGCCATTCTCTGCAGTTCTTGTCCTCTTCTAGTGTCTAGTGTGTAAGGCCTACTGCCAAAGTAATCCTCCCCCCCCCCCGCGCTTTCAATCCCAAGCCCGAAAACTCACAGCTTTTGCCAACAATTCAGCAGTCTAGCAGTCAACTCTGTTCGCTTCGTAAATCCTTCGGTTTTTTTTTTCTATTCCTTCGTCGTCTTTCCGTCGACCTGTCTATTGTTTACCGGAACGCCGGCCGGAGTAACGGAGCAGGAGTTGCTGATTAAACATCCCTGAAGTCCAGCTCCAGCCTTGTAGTTAAATGTGTCTCAAGTGCAGAGCCTACGCTCTGCGCATCTATAATATATGAGGGGCGAGTTGCGGGCGGGCGGTTGGTTGGACGGACGGACCGACGAGTTTTCCCCCCTTTTTATTCGAAAGCAACAGAAGTAGCTGCGTTGCCGCCGACAAGAGGATTCCGGATGAGTATGTGGAACAAAAAGAGTGAAAAATGGAACATGTTTTTTTTTTTATTTTTCGGAGGTGTGGCACTTGTCCCCGGTTTGTACTTAAAAGTCAAAGCCGATTTCGCTTTGACGTCGCTTTCGTTCGCTTGAGTAATATCAATGGCTGGATTGGTGACATGCCTCTTTTGCTTTGAATCTTGATTTTTCATCATCTTCTTCTTTCTTTCTGGTGTGCATAATTTTCGTCACCAAAAAAAAATGTGAATAGATTTTCCCGAGCGGTGAGGGACATCCTTATCGATAGAAACTTTTCGGATTGCTTTAAAGCTGAAAATTCCGAAGCAAATTTAGAAAACACTGAAAATCTACTGAAATATAAACAAACAGATCATGCTGGACAGCAAAACATAAACTTTAAAACATTGATAATTATTAATAACCAATTGACTTACGTTAGTGGGAAGAGGCTGATCATCGTTAGTAGGATGTTTGCATACCTGAAAGGAGACAAAAGGAATTCTGTTTAGCAAATATTCTACTGTTGGGTAAAAATCAGTGGGAAATGTGTATTTTGCAGTCAGAGTGCATTTTGACAGATCAAGGTGACTGAAATGAATCACGGTGTTTTGGAAATTTCCATAATCCCAATTTCAGATTGCCTGCTTTGATGATCTTTAAAGACCCGTTGCAACTCCGATGTTGATAAGAAATGATTACCAACGGGCCAGACGACACTAATGGCGTCCCACCCATCCCAGCCTGTCGGTTTGTCGTTTCCCGGGTAAGAACCCTCTCCTTCACGGTATTCACACGTGTAATGAGTCACAGAGATAAAATGTTACTCTCATCGTCCTGTGCATGGAACCTTTAGAAAAAGAACAAAACCCAAGCTGGCGTGCAAATCGCAGGGATGACACTGAAGTAGGTGTTGGAGAACAAGAGACTTCATCCACCTAGAGAGCTCCTCTTGCTCATCATCATCCTTACCACCCTTTCGCTTTCATTGAGCTGCACAATTTTGCACACCCACTTGAAGCCATACGAACCCCGCCGGTTTCCCCTTTCTCCCAGAACTTGAAGCTTCCGCCTTGAACAACGGCGACTGCAATCAACCAAGGTTGTGGCATGACGACAACTACGGCGACGGTTCCCCGAAAGCGAGAAAGCCTAATTGGAAGACTGCTCTTGTCTCGTTCCGCCACCTACTTGATCATTCTGCCAATGATGAGCGTGTCTCGTCAATTATTGACAAAAAACCCCCCAAATTTCCATCGCGATCCATCGCGTGCGCTCGGCTCCGGCAGCACGATTACGTGACTTCAATCAGCAACGGTTTTTTTTTATTTCAATCATAATTCCATAACCGCAACTCAACTTAAAAGTGGCGAACGAGACGGAGAAACGTCAAAAACTATGCCACACCGTCGCTGATCCAAAGTAAATCAAGTTTAGATAACCTCATTCCTCGGCGACGGTGACGGACGAAAAACGTGCCTAGATCACCGTCAAGAAGTGAGGTTATGAAACCAGTTCAGCTAGCCGTAAAACCTTATTTTTTTTTGTGGTCTTTGCTCCGGGGCTTTTGCAGTTTATTTAAGTTACAGCTTTAATTGATTTCCGTTTGCACCTTCAGCTGCGCCATGTTGGAATTGGAATTTGAAAAACCCGTATACTGTTTGTAAACAACGCGATCGACTGTTCCGGAAAGCCTATTATCACTTTCGCTGCTCCGCTAATCATAGTAATCCCGGGTCGCCGAGTTTCCCACGTCTTTCAGTGCCATCAAAATGGCAGATCACAGTGACCCGAGTAGAATCGATTCGACCCTGTTGCAGTCAATAGGAACCGCTTTGAATAATAAGGTTTCCTCTTCCGCATTTCGATCGCCGCCCAGGCCAGCTCTAAGCTAGCAGGCGGGGGAAAAAGAAAATCGAAAGCAGACTACGACGAAGGCGAGTCGAGAGGAAAACGAACAAAAGCGAAAGAGACCCCCGAATTGGTGGTGCTGGGGTCTACCTCTTTTTCTCTCTCTCTCTCTGTGTGTGTGTGTGAGAGAGGTTCACTGGGTGTGGATGGATTTTGGCGTAATTTTTTGCACATTTTCACTTTTCTGTGGGAGCGAACTGCCAAGAAGTGGACTGTCTAGCCGGATCGTGAAGTTTATCTCTTTTTTGCTGCCGTTGGTGGGGCCGGGAGAGGGGTAAGGGGGCAACCTCTATGAAGAGTGTGCGAAAATCAGCTGACTACACAATCGCACGCTTGCTTTGCTACGTGGAATTAAGGCAATAACTGCGAAGCGGCGGTGCGTGATCAAATCGAGGAGTCGTGTTGCGATGGAATTTCTTGTTGATTTTTCAAAATCATGCTCGTAAAAAAAACCTGAGCTTAAAATTTATGAACTTTGCTTTTGAAACTGAATAGATGGACGGAACGATCGCTACAGTCGTAACAGTGCATTAATATTAAAGTGCCGCCGATGCGGATCGTTGAACGGCAGATCGAGCTAAACGGGGCGCATAGTTACAGGCAGCATATTGTTAATTACCCCTCCCCCCCTAAAACTACGCCTATGGCATTCTATTAAGTTATGTCAAACTTCGCTAAATGCCCTTAATTTAATCAAACACTGATCGTTGGTTCGCTCCCTGCGGTACCGTGGATTGCACTGAATTTCACTAAGATTTCTTGAATTGTACGAATTCGGCACTCATTAACAACTTCTCCATTGTAATCTCTACTTAGGCTCTGAACTATTTGGTGGATTATTTTAACTTTTGGTTAAAATTTGACCGATGGAAAGTAACTTAGTAGCAATAGCTTTAACCGCAAATTCCTCGAGAATCAAAGCACAACCAAGCAATCTAACACCGTCATCTGGTAGAGCAAACTTCCTTTATCGCATGGCATTGTTGGTTTGCGTGGGAGTGTTTTGAACCTCTAGAATTTTGTGTTTAAAGCCATTTTTTACGTTTGGTTATTCCGCCTATTTCAATTTGTTAGTCTAGAGGTATCGATTAACCCTGCTATCCGAGCGTGGTTACTGCTGACCCTTCTGACAAACAAGAACAACCTTGGCTAAGGCTCTGAACCATTTCAAGACCAACTATTGAAATGGCCTTAACTCCATTTTGTAAACAAACCTTGTAAGGCCATTTTCTCGCGAACCGCAAAGGCAAACCAACATAATGAACAAGTAGGGAAAATTCTCCTCTACCCGATTGTGGTTTAGGTTTACGAATGAAGGTTTCGGTTCGCGAGAAAATGGCTTTACAAGGCTTGTTTACAATATGGAGTTAAGGCCATTTCAATTGTTGGTCTTGATTTGGTGGATTATTTTAACTTTTGGTTAAAATTTGACAGATGGAAAGTTATCGATTCACCCTGCTGTCCGAGCATGGTTATTTCTGACAGACAAGAAATTAAATTTTGACAAACGTGGCTCGAAAACCGGTCGAGCGACAGAGCAGGGATTTTCGAACATAGAAAATAACTTTCGAAATGTCACTTTTAACCACGAGTTAAGGCCCAAACGCAATATGGACGGAAGCGGAACGGAAACGAAAAGTTTGACAGTTGTCACAAATGACATCAAGATGCCTAACCGAAGTCGATTTGGTTCTAACTAGTTTTCAATCCGACAAGTAGGCTTACTCAGATCGGGCTTTTCCGCTGCCGCTGCCGTTCCTCTTCCGCTGTCATTGCGCTTGGGCCTTTAAATTTAACTCGGCAAATAGTTCACACGCTATTCTGAATCTACCCAGTGACTGGGTACATGGCACCCATTCTAGTATCCAGTAAGGAGTTGTCAAAATCTGGGTAAACTAATTTTGTTCTGACGAGTAGAATCTACCCAGATGTGTGCTACGCGATCGTCTGTTTTCTCGGCAGCAACCATTGTGTGGTCCTCCTCATTGTTCTTCATCAGCAGTTCTTTCGGTCGATGCGTCGTCGACTTTGGAAAGCAACCGTTTCGTGATGAGTGTGTGAGTGCTGACCACGTTTTGCATCCATTGCTGCAATGGACGCGCTCTGACCCTCGTTGGCGCACAACAATTTGCCATACAATGAAACTACTGGAAGCGGCTCCAGTTCTGGAGGAGGCTTTTTGGATAGCGGAAGATAAAGTGTTTATTGTGTTGTACCTTTTGACTATGGTTGTAAAATGAATTGTATTGTGACCAAGAATCCTCGGCTCTGTAAAGTTAATTCGGTTGAGCCTTATCAAATAAATTAATAAACAAAAAAAAAAAAATGTACATATATGTAACTGTTTCATGGCGAATGCTACCAGCAGCTTAAGTTAGTAAGTATATTGTTAGTTTCTGGACTTTGAACATTTTCCTAATGCTAGGTTATCGAGATATTCTGTGACGCTTTTCTCGATGCCAAATCTTTGTTGTAGTTCCTAATTTATAGATCTCTACTAAAATCGAATCTCAATAAATGGTTAGCATTTGTAACGGTATCGTTTTTGGGGATTTTATAACTAGTTCGTTTATTTGGAAGGCTCATTTTTGGATATTTCAATGTCGTATTCCGTATTTTATATTATTCCGACAATACGACATCAACAATCAATAACAGGCTAGAGGAGCTAGTCAGGTGAGGTTATGTTTGATAGAGCTATTGCAGCGGTCATGCCATCTAATTTCTATTAAAATGGGTAAAGTTTACCCTTTTATCAAATTTCAACATCTGAGTAACCGTTACCCAATTTGTGTCGCAGGTTCGTTTACCCAGATTTGGGTAAATGCATGTTAACCCATTTTTGGGTAGGTTCAGTTTTGACTGATCTGAGTATATTCTACCCAAATTTGGGTAGTTTTAAAATAGCGTGCAATTCCAGCAGATTTATTTCTGACGGACAAGAAATTAATTTTGACAGACGCTTTTTAGGCTCTGAACCATTTGGTGGATTATTTTAACTTTTGGTTAAAATTTGACAGATGGAAAGTTATCGATTAACCCTGCTATCCGAGCATGGTTATTTCTGACAGACAAGAAGTTAAATTTTGACAACTGTGGCTCAAAAACCGGTCGATCGACAGCACGGGGATTTTCGAACATAGAAAATAACTTTCGAAATGTCACTTTTAACCACGAGTTAAATTTAACTCGGCAAATGGTTCACAGCCTTAGAAAATCAGCCGATCAACAACAGAGTGATTTTCGAACATTTTAATTTATTTTCGAAGTGTCATTTATGTGAAATTTTTCCAAATGGAACACAGCCTAAGTTCTTCTCGATAACCGGTCGATCGACAGCACAGGGATTATCAAACACAGAAAATAATTTTCGAAATGTCACTTTTAACCACGAGTTAAATTTAACTCGGCAAATGGTTCACAGCCTTAGGCTGTGTTTCATTTGGTGAATTTTCACTTACATTTGACACTTCGAAAATAAATTCTGATGTTTGAAAATCCTTCTGTTGTTGATCATCCGATTTTCGAGAAGGTGTTTGTCAAAATTGATTCCTGGTCTGTCAGAAATAGG